GTGATGGTGTTTCCGGTCCTTTGGCCTGCCTCGTTCTTGGTCTCTTTCTTTGGGAGGTAGGTCACCTGACTGTGTGGTCATGCTGAGGTCCGTGCCCAGCCCTGCCAGTAAGAAGAAAGAAGGCAGTTCAAGGTTGAATGTTTCAGTTAGAAATATTCTGTATATGTCAACATATGTCCCCATCCTTCCCTGGCATCTAGGCAACAAGGGAGAACAGCAACCACAAGGAAATCCTGAAGGCAACGTTTTGCATGGCTGATGTTGTGAACCTGAAGGAACATGTGCCCAGGACTCAGATACCAAAGTATATTGCTTTTCTAGTCTGTCTTTTCAAAAGCTCAAGCAGCTACTCAGGGCTAAATCAAGACTGATGGGGGAGATCTGTGAACAGGATCTTCCACAGCTGATTAAAATGTTAACAGCAGCCATGGAAGAGAGTACGATAGTACTGGTGTTGTGGTGGTGGTTTAAAACCTCATGATGCCATTTTCTTGATGAAAATTGGACTCTTAAAGCTGCTATTTGCCTTCCTGGGCAAAATAGACTATACAGTGGTACCTCTGGTTACGTACTTAATTCATTCCGGAGGTCCGTTCTTAACCTGAAACTTCTTAACCCGGAGGTCCGTTCTTAACCTGAAGCACCACTTTAGCTAATGGGGCCTCCCGCTGCTGCCGCGTCACCGCCGTGCAATTTTTGTTCTCATCCTGAAGCAAAGTTCTTAACCCAAGGTACTATTTCTGGGTTAGCGGAGTCTGTAACCTGAATCGTATGTAACCTGAAGCTTATGTAACCCGAGGTACCACTGTACATGTTTTGCCCTGCACTGAAAGTATCAGCTTTGGAGGTTAACAGCAACTTTAGAGCAGAGGGCAGGAGGAGAGGGCGGGGGGACAGAACTGCAGCACCAGGGAGGCTTAAAAAAAACCCTCATGCCACCACTCCCCCAATTAAAATTGTCCTTCCCAAGCTATTTGCCCCGTGGGGGCAAGATTAATTAAGCCTTTGCACTGCATGGGAAGCAAAATTTCAGTTTGCTGATATTAATCAGAAAAACAATGCTAAAGGGTTTAATCTACACATATACACACACACACACTCCTAGTGCTGCAGTTGCAATATGAACAACCCCCCTATTGCTGTTATTAACCCTTAAACTGTGGAGATCCAGTTCATGGATCACCCACATCATAATTATTTTGGCTTGCAGAAGTCCCTTCATAGAGGGATCAGAATTTGTTTCCAGTGAGTCCTCAATATAAAGTAGGTTCTCAGCTGACAAAATGCTCCAAAAGTGCTTCTGGATCCCATACACTGTCTTTTGACCTACAGTTTGGGGAAGGACTGATCTGCAAAGAAAGCAAGAATGAAAGTACCTGAGACATATCTTACATTTCTCACAAACCTTATGTGCTATTATAAAGGTCTATTATGCAACGCCTCTAAAAGAGCACAAGTATGCATTTGCACATTTCACATGCTGCAACAAAATCAGTGAACAGTTTTGTAACACTTTAAAGACTAAGGCCCCTACATACTTTTTGTTTGTCTGTGTAGGTGTTTTCTGCAACATGTCTTTGACACAGTGCATCTGCGGCAGATTTACAGTGAACTGTCTACACATTTCCTCTTTATTAGTTATGTGAATCTTCCCAGTGTTACCACATTACTGCCACCTGGAGGGGCACTCTGGAACTATAGTGCAACAAAAAGAAAACCTGCAAAAACCTGTACAATTATACTGAATACATCAAACGTATTCACCAGTTATTGAGAGACTCACACCTTAAGATGCTTGCCAAGCAGGAGCCTTAGATCTTTACATATATACTTTGACCAGCTACCATAACTCTAAGGCTGCCATATAATTTACTCTCCGGAATTGTGACAGTAGCAAAGATTGCAGCTATTCTGAAGTAAGTAACTAAAGGACTGAAGCCTCTGTCTCTAGGGTTTACTCCTGCCGGTCCTGCAATCTGACCTGTGTCCACATCAGTATATCGGCTGAGTGAGCGCTCTGATGTCCGGTGGCCTCGTTCCCGCCGCCGGTGATGCCGTTGGTTCTCCTCTGGGATTACCCTTTCCAAAGAGTAGTCATCCAAGCGCATGCCTTTGGAGCGTGAGTGGCCCAACATGGAGGCAGAGCGTTTCATGGGGCTTGCATCTGTGATTGTCTGGAAAGGGACAGAAACCCAGAACAATAACTGAACTGACACTTTATGAGAAGGCAAACCCCCATGGATTTGATAGACAATGGAATACTATGCCTCTTTCTAGGCAACTACTCTGTCATGTATAGCTCAGCTAAAGAACTATGGGCACATCTATCCATCCTCCCGTCCAAGTTGCTACCCAGTCCATCTTTCTGTGCCCATAGTTATTAAGTTAATGATGCATATATGAACCTCTCTCTCAAGATATACCCATTTGCCACAAGTGCTAGGAATGGTTGTCTAAAGAGTTATGGAGCGTGAGGTTTTGCTTGCAAACCACCAAATCTTCCTTCCCAATCTGCTGAAGAATGAATGCATGGGTTTAGCTAGCATAGAGAGCAGTTGCCATGTTGTCTTTCTCCCACAGATGATACAGAAAAGGGCCAAACCCCACATTTCATTAATCATGTGACTGTTACATATAAGATTTTTCTTTCACAAATAGCTAGCACAGGGTTGTCAGTTGGGACTGGGATCCTGGCATGGGGTAGGTTTGGTTTTAACCCTTTGCTTACTGATGTGTTCCTGATCCAGATCAACTAATAGGAACATTCCCACACATGCAATGAGCAGGTGCTGCAGGTCCCCTGAATCAGACTGCAATGGGGAGTGGGGGTCAAAGCCCTCTATACCAGGACACTGAACTAAACTAGGTTCCCCACACTGGCCATTTGAGAAAGAAAAATCCTGCATTTAAGGGCAATCCACATGATTAATGTAATGTGTGGTCTGACTACATATGACAGTGGTTTTCAACCAGGGTGCCATGGCACCCTGGGGTGCCTTGAATGGTGGTCTCTGTGCCTCTTTCCTTCCTTCTCTCCTCTGATGCCCTCCTGCAACTCTGCTTCTCAAAGGCTTGCACAGCTGTTTGTTGCAGCAGCCCTGGCTACAAGCTCTGCAGGCAAATGGTGCCTCTGGGGCTGGCCAAGGGGTACTTCCCGGGCTCCTGTGGGACAGTATGAGGAGGTACCTCTCTTTGGGGCAGGGGGGAAGCTCAGAGACCAGGGGCGGCGGCAACAGCTGCCCGGAGGACTTCGAAGGAGAGGGGAGAGAGGAGGCTGAGGGAGCACTCCACAAGGGAGGGTGTTTGAAAAAGGGTGAGATAACTGGGCTCCTGAGCCCCACAGGGGTGCCGCAGAAAGAATGTAGTTGGTCAAGGGAGTTGTGGACTCAGTAAGGTTGAAAACCTCTGACATATGACATAGATGTGTTTGTTTGTTTTTTAAAGTAAATGCCAGGTGTGGGGGGTAGGGAGTGGAATTGTATTCAGAAACGTAGTGTGCTTAGAGAAGAGGCATAAGTCCCCACTGCCTGTCCCCACTGCCCAGTAATTAGCATTAGGGGGAAAATCTCCCTCGTTAAGTAATTTGTCAAATGTCATTCATTGTTCATTTATTACAGAACGTGAAGGTACACCTGATATTATAGTACTGGACAACAATTTACAATACATCTCATTGTATGTTAAGATTGGTGCCAGTAACAACTCCCAAGATTCTTATATGGTTTCCTCAGCTTTGCTCAAATCATTGTCTGGCACCCCTCTTCTTGAATAGGACACAAGACGACTGGTCTTGGAGCCTGAATTGAGACCTCTTGTTACTTCTTCCTTCTTAGGTTTTGGGGGTCATGCTCATTATCTACATTTATAGGCAGCTATCTCTAGGAATAAAGACACTTCAAGGTACAGTACTCTCAGAAACCAGAAAATCTGCAAAGGCTCTTGGGGGCCATCTTGTGATCAATAAAAGAAAAAAATGGAAGGCAGTGATTTAGTAGAAAGGAGGCCATAGAAAAATCTGAATGCTGCCAAATGCCCTGTGACTCCCACTCCCTACCCTATGGTTACCTTGTGCTTACTCACAACATCAATTTCAAAAACTACTGGGTTGGGCTGACACCATGATATATTAAAACAACGTCAAGGAATCTGTGTTTGGTATTTCAGATTTGCTCAGCCAGAAAGATCTTGGTTTAAAGTAGAGATGGCTAAACTGTGGTTCTCCAGAGGTAGTTGGACCGCTCATCATCCAAGACCATGGCCATGCTGGCTGGGGCTAATGGAAGTTGAGTCCAACAACATCTGTACAGCCCTGGTTCAAAATAGTACACAATAACAAGCCAGAACAACAAGAATAACAAAAGGCCCTCTACAAAGTCTTATAGTATAAAAAAGCTTTTAAAAATTCATCCAACTTCTTCTGAATTACATTATTATTGTATGAGAATACCACTAGGTTGAAATTAAACCTAGAAGTCACAAATTACACATTGCTTGTACAGGTAAAATAAAACACATTTGTGTCAACTTTGATTTAATATGGGTGAAAATACACACATGTAACTGTATTTATTATTCTTGTGTACAGAGTTCTGATTTGTAAATTTAAATGTGACCAAAAGATATTCACATGCAGTAATCTGCAACAGACATTAGGAATATAGGACTGCCCTATACAGGGGTACATCGGGTTAAGAACTTAATTCGTTCTGGAGGTCTGTTCTTAACCTGAAACTGTTCTTAACCTGAGGTACCGCTTTCACTAATGGGGCCTCCTGCTGCTGCTGCCACCGCGCAATTTCTGTTTTCATCCTGAAGCAAAGTTCTTAACCCGAGGTACTACTTCTGGGTTAGCAGAGTCTGTAACCTGAAGCGTCTGTAACCTGAAGTGTCTGTAACTCGAGGTACCACTGTACTGAGTCAGAGCAGCAATCTAAGTATTGTCTATATTGATTGGCAGCAGATCTTCAGGATTTCAGACAAGCTTCTCTTCCAGCTCTACCTGGAAATGCTAGGAATTGAACACAGGACTTTCTACATGCAAAGCAGATGCTCTGCTACTGAGCTATGGCCCTTCCCTGCATTATAGGGCTGTTCTATGGTCCTTTATAGTATGTTACAGATTATTTCATTTGATAGATGTGTCATCCTGAATATATAATTTGGGTCTGAAGTAGCAATCACATTTGAGTTTGGATGCATACTTAAAGTTATACATCATTATGTTTTGTGACACAGAGATTTAATCATAGCTCATTTGGGTTGGATGTTGATATATATCATCCAAACTTTTGATCAAGAGCTATTGGAGACATCTGGATCGAGAAAATGAAAAGGGACCAAATTAACAGAAAAGTATGAGGGATGTTTTTGGAGATTATGCTGCTAGTGGTTTTAACACATCCTTTCAGAAACAATATAGGACACAAGTCATAAATTCAATTACATATGTATGGACAGTAGTCACTTTCAAATGATATAATCTGTGGTGGTTTTCTCATGAAGAACACTCCATAACTGCACTGAAGACTACCTTGTCTCCAAAAACACATCTAATGCACCCTGGACCACATTCCAGGCTGAACAGCTTCAGAAATGGTTGTGAAATATGACTTGATATATTAACTGTAGGAATGGTACTGTGAGAAACATTCAGTCATGTCCTTTCCAGCAGCAGTGAGGAACCTGTGGCCCTCTAGATGTTGTTGGACTCCAGCTACCATGAGCCCCAGTAGGCATGGCCAATGGTCAGAGATGATGGGAGTTGTTGTCCAATAACTTCCTGAGGGTCACATTTCCCTCACAATGCCTTACAGCAAGCACTGCTAGAACTGGCCGTGTGTAGTATCAACCATATTTATTTGAAGCACCAGCAGTCATATACTTTTAAAAAACATTTTTTAAACAGCCATGAAACTTGTCCAGAAATGGCTATACAGTTTCCGGTAGCTACTATATAACTTGAAAAGTAAGCTGCCTTCATAAATGCCTAGCTGGAGTCTTATCAGGTGAACTGTAAATGTTGCCCACAAAGAAAACATTATCTTATATCCATTCTGGGAGCGAAATTACATTTTCTACCCTTTTTGTGCATACCCCAAAGTATTGGAGTTCTAGAGTATCAGGAAAAGATCAGTCACGCACACATTACTGTATTCTGCCTAACAAAGGTTCATTATTGTTTTAGTTTAGTTTAGTTTAATTTAATTTAGGTAAATTTAGGGAAAGACAAATTAATATCCCCATGTGCAAACAAACATGTTTCTTACCACTTGAAAGCAGTATATTCCATTGCAGAGCAGGGATCAAGGTTCCACACACTATCCCTGCCTTGGATAGGTTAACGCTTCTCCATTATACTAAGACATTGTTCCCTCCCCTTGAAATCACACTAACTCAGAAAGAGGAAATGCTAAAGAAAGTAACTAGGACTCCCGACCCCACAGTCATACTGCTCTGACCAAATAATCCCACGTCTCAGTATGCAACCCAGAAATCCTAGTAGTCAACTCGCCCATATTTAACACAAAGCCAGAAATAACACTCTTGCTTACAATCCCCTCCCTGCTGGAGCCACCTGACTCTTCCTGTTTCACAGGACAAGAGAGAGAAAAATTACTCACTTGTAACTGATGCTCTTTCAGTTGTCCTTCCCCTTTTCCCACCTATATATAGGTGCAGATGCATATGCAACCAGGCCTTCCAGAAACCTCTCTCCAATAGATTGTTCTTGGAGTAACCTCAGCATGGGACTGCTTGTGCATAGTGAACCACAATTAAAATCAAACAAGTTACCACAGAGTTGCAAATAACTCTCAAAAAGGAGTTAAGTTGATCCAATCACCTCAGCCATGTAAGACTCCTACCTCACAGTTTCATCAGAATCTATTTGGGTGGGTATTCTGAGACTGAGACTGAGACTGAAGGGAACATGCTGTGGTAGACATCTGGGAAAGAGTCGGAAATGGACAGAGATAATTTAAATTGCATCACATATAAGCTATCAACCATTTCTTAAAGAGGCTCAGTCAATTTTGAAAAAAGTAAACAAGAACAATGGTATCTTCTACAACATGGCAGCTTGAGCAAGTACATTCATTGAAAAAGACAGCCATTCATAGCTCTTAAGGGATCCTGCTGTAGGAAGTACAGCCAGTCATATCCAGGTTGTAAGTTTTTCCATCTTGCGATCCCCTCCTCTAACTAGATGTGCTTCAGAATTGAAGGAAAGAGGCACAGAAATTTCTCTGGGAGATTGCTAAGAAAACCACAGACATTTCTAATTAAAATGGGAAGTTTTCTTGATAGGATGCCTCCTTTTGTATCAAGTAAAAATGAAGGGAGGTGGTTGGAGAAACTACCCCTCTTAGGTGCTCTCTGCACAACATTATTGTGGATCAAGACTTGGTCACACCATATCTGTCAACTCAGCAAATTCAGGAAATGGTAGGCTGTGCTTGGGCTGCACAGTCCACACATGGGAAGCAGATAAATGGACACCGAAAGCTCAGTGTCACACCATCACTTTCCTCAGGCAACACCATTCTATACCAAAAGCATGTGCTAGAAAGCAAGAAAAGCTTCCCATGTGCCCTAACACTCTCAGCTCAGCAGATGAGTGCTTTTGCAGTGAAATAAAAGGCAATTCCTGCTCTGGTGGCTCACTGCTGAGCAGTTGTTTCTGGAAGGCCTGGTTGAATGCACATTGATTCAACAACTGCAAATGGGCAGATCATATTAGAGAAGAAAGAGAGGAACATGTTGGACACACAGAATCCAGGATTTGGTGGAGTGAGTGTGAGAATGGATAGGTGGTCCAGATTGAGAAAGAATTCCCATCCACCCCACAAAACAGATGGAAAATGGAAATAAGTAATTGGGCATCTGACAGACAGAAGAAGCAACAAGGCATTCTGTGGCACCTTAGAGAGCTATAGACTTATAGTGCAATTCTATTCATGCCTACTCAGAAGCCCCACTGAACTTACACTTCCTTGGACTAGAGCCCACTTCATCAGATGTGTATGTACACACACCAATTGAAGGCAACACTTACCATGTCTAATAAAGTGGGTTTTGGTCCATTAAATCTTTAAAATGCCCTTGGAAGGTACAGTAGGTTACCGGCTAAGTTTTTCACAGCCCAAGAAAAAAGGCAACAGGAATGAGGAAGGAGCAGATCTATGGTTAGAATGAGTGTGGGGCTGTGGACACGCATATAACTTTCCCCCCAGCAGGCCCAATAAATAGACAAAACAAAAACTTCATCTGGCCCAAAGGATGTTTTGGCCACATGAAAAGCTTCAATTGGTGTGATGACAGAAAACCAGCCTGTTACTGGGCTAGAGTGCTTAAAGAATTATTTTAGCACCCGTTAAAACTAACATGGCAGACAACAGAGGCAGGAGCAGAAAACCAAGTGTATGGCTTGAAGCAGAGAGAGTGAAAGCAGGAAGAAGGTATGCAGAAAGGGACAGTGAATGAAAGGAAGAGAAAGCCTAATGAAGACAAGATGAGGACAGAATGGGCTGGAGAGAAAGTTTTTTGCCTGCATAGCTTTGAATGCAGCAAAAGCAATTGGGAGTAGAGTAAGAGAGAGAAAGAGGTGTGCATGAAGAGAAACACATAGGAGTTGGCAGCTTGCTAGTCTGAGGAGCCCAGGGGAAGGGAACTGGAGGCAGCGAGCGCGCAGAGCCAGGAGCCCAGGCTGCAGTACATACACTGAGATTATTCCCTCGCGGTCGCGCCTTCCTCCACTGTCGCAGCCATACAAGACGGTGCACACAGAAACGGGAAAGAGAGAGAGAGAAGGAAATAAATATAAAGGCAAAGGGAAATATAGGGCCAAAGGGGAGGGTGGAGGAACCAGAATGTGGTAAAGGATTGAAGGGAGGAGTGTAAGGAGAGAACAGTCAGGTTAATGTTGGTCATTTATGCACAAGGCCAGCCCAGCCCAGCCCAGTGCTGGAAGCTCATATTCTCTGATATTTGGTTGCTCTTGACAACCAAGATAAACAAAGATAGACACCACGAAGGGACAGACAGTTCTCAGTAGGGATGAGTTGAGCAGCACAGCGGAGACAACAGCAAGGCCACACACCCCTCCCAACCCCAAACATGCGGCAACAAGCCTCAGCCACTGTTAAAAGCTGCAACATTGTGCACGGCCCAAATGGGGACAGTCACCCCTAGACACTGCTCTCACTGATTGGCTGGGCCCCCTTGTCTTCGCGACTTTGGCCTTGCCAGCCCAACCCAGCCCAAAGGAGGCAGAGTAAGGCAAGGGGAAACTGCAGAGGAAGCCCTGAGCAGGATTTGATAAGTGGAGAAATAGGGGTCTGTAACCTTGGATATACCTGCAATGTTGGGAATTCCAAGAAATGAATTTCTTGCCATTTCTTTGGATGGAAGCAAAGTTTGGGAGATTCTTTGTATGCTAATTCTGAAGCCTAATGAGAAAAGTGTAATGCTGAAAGGGACTAATGAATAGAATATGAACGGCTGTACTGCCTTTTTTATTTGGTAAATGATGTTGGTAGGTGCTGCTGCCATGGGTATTCTCTCTTGATCAAAATAGCTTCTGGTCAGAGATGTGACTGCTGAAATGGAAACATTCAGCGTCTTGATTCTTGCATTGTTTCAAACTGGTATAAAGGCTATGAATCACCATTTACCTTGGATGGCAACTAACTAGACCTGTATATGTGGGTGTGGGTGAGGGAGAGAGAGAGAGAGAGAGAGAATTAGGGAAGGGATTTATCATAGGTGGTCACAGAGCTGTTTGACAGTGGAACAGGGTGCATTGGAAAGTGATGAGCTCTGATTCACTGGAGGTATTTAAGCAAAGGCTGGCTGGGCCTTTGGCAGACATGCTGTAGCTGCATCCCTTGCAGCGCTATGGTTCTAAAAACAGTCCCACTAACCTGACTTTTTCAGAATGCCTTATATTAGACCTTTGGTTCTCCAAAATCAGTCCTCCTTAACTGATAAGAAAGGCATCAGTTTCCACCAAATCACCCCAGCTTAGTATTCTTGCCCAGCAATCACAACCTACACATATATCTGATCTAAAGGCTGT